ACTATCTTTTGACTATTTTGATTTTTGTGCCATTGTAGAAAGATAATAAAATTCTGACTGCAGAGATATTAAACCTTGTATTACTCCAAACCTTCTTGAAAGGTAATATATTTATAATATTTGTAATAGTATATTAATATGTCATCATCCTTATGTATTCTTATTGTGTTATTTGGTATGCTAATTAATACAATAGTGCTGCCATAAGTGTCATGTTGTTTTAAAAGGGAACTTTTAAAATTAAAGAAACCTATGATTATCTTTTTAACTTGTAATTCTAAGATATTATCTTTTCAACATGTAACTAACACAAAATGGTGGAAAATCATTTCCATTCACTTTTATTCTAAATCTCTGAAAGTGCATGTGACTTTGCACTCATGATCTAAATTTTGATGAGCCCCATGTAAGGGCTCAGTAGTCACATGTAGCTAGGGTGCACCATATTAAAATGGCACAGTCTGGATTAAGGTCATTATTTTAAAAGATGGTGTGGGTGAGACTTACCATGAGTTTGGAAGAAAGCAAGGAGGGATGAATGGGAGGACTTGGAGGGAGAAGGGGGAAGGGAGAAATGATGTAATTATATTATAATCATCTAAAGATAAAAGAAATAAAAACATATTATTGGCTTTTGGGGGAGTATTAAATTGATCATAAGGATAAGACAGTTTCTAAACTGCCAAATCATGAAAGAAAATTTCTCAAGATGTTAAGAAACAAGTTCATTCAACTTCCAGAATCTACTTTGGATTTGTAAAGTGTTTAAGAGATCGTCTGAAGAAATTGTAAAAACATTTGATTTTCTTGTGCATAATTTTTGAACAAAGAAATAAAGAAAGGAGCTCAGTGCTCAAGCACAAATCATTTGCACAGTTGAATTTCCTCTTCCTTGTCTGGGTGCTACCAAACCAATTTACTTTATTTTAGAGAAACTATTGACAGTTTTCACTAAATAATTTAAGATTCATATTTCTTCGTTATACATTTATGTTTTCATCCACATGACAGATATTGTTATATTATAGGTCCTTCACATGTACCCTGAGTTTCTGAAAAGTTCTTGATATATTTTGAGTATTATTTTCATGCCATTGTATTTCACTCTATAAGAGGACAAAGTTTTCCATTTGATAAAAATCAATAGATTTTTGTTAGAGAGCAGTTATTTTATTGAGTGATCTATGCACCTCAAGGGAAGGTATTGTCTGGTCTGTCTCACTCAGACACCACTATCTTTAATGTGTTTCCTCACACAACTAGGGTGATCTACCCAGTATTCCTTCAGTGTTAAGGAAGCTATCTATGAACTTCATGGGACAGTCATGAAGTTAAAATTAGGACATAACTCTTGCTCAGTCATCATTAGAGAAGCTTCCTCCACCCTTAGATGGAAAAATATAGAGATACACAACTGACCAATATTCAGAGAGTGAAAGACCTTGGAATACAGAGTCCTAAATGGGATGGCTTCATCCAACCTCTTCTCTCAGAGCTCAAGGAGGAGGGCATGGAAAGAGTTAGTAGGATGGAAGACAACGAAGAAAAACTGCCTTCCAGACAGGACAGTTCTGATTATAGACTGTGGAAGCATGCACAGGGACAGCACAGGTCCAAGCCAGATAGGATCACCAATACTGAGAGGTATCAGTGGACATGATCTCCCATCCCTAACCAAGAAACTGTCTCCAATTGACAATTGCTATCCAAGGGAAAATTCATTTTCTTTAATGGAGTCTCACCCAGTACATAAACCACATTCAATGACAGACCCTATGCCCAGTTGTAGACTGCCAAATAAATACACACTACTCAATGGTATGGTATTTGAAAGTTTTTTTTTTTTTTTTTTTTTTTTTTGTTTTGTTTTTTGTCTCATAATGCCTTATCTGGCCTTTTATTTTTTACTTTATAGGTCTTTTGCTTATATGTTATGGTTCCAAATTCTGTGCTTTTATGAGTTTTCTGTATTTTCTGTATGAGTTGTATTTTTTCTGTCTGTTTTCTTAAGAGACTGTGAGAGAAGAGAAGGTGTTGAGTTGGATGTGTGGGGAGGATCTGAAAGAAGATGATGGAGAGGAAATCATAACCAGAATATAATCTATGAAAGAAAAAAGTCCATTTTCAATTAAAAGAAAATAAAACAGTCAAAAAATAAAATAAAATTAGGACATGTTGCAGTCTCTTCCCTACTTGGGCAGCAAAATCTTTTTGATCTCAAGTGAAGTATTTCCTCTTCTTTCACAGCAAGAGAAATAGAGTCAGAGGTTGAAAGGATGGACAGATATATATACACATACACATACACATACATGAACACAATGTCATAATGTATTTTCATCTATTTTTAAATTTTATTGCATGTCCTGGCAAACAAAAGTGGCTTATAGATTTGCCTCTGGCTCACCATAGCCTGTAACACAAAAATACCAAAAGACAAGCAACTGGAGCTGTAAAAAAGTATGATGTCTATAAGAAAGTACCTTTTGAAAAAAAAAAAAAACATTAATAAAGTATATAAAACATTTGACATTTGCTTAATTTTGTACAATTATAAAAATAAAAAACCCACATATCTTTCATAGTCAACATCCCACATACGTATTTGGGGGAAAAATCAAGAAAACAAAAGCTAAAGGTATTAATAAGAGCATCTTGCTTTCTATCCTGCTTACGTCACTGTCAAGCAAAGGAATCCCATTCTCCAGCAAGAGGCACAGAACAGTTGCCTGTTGTCAATGCTCTTCCCCACAGCCCTGGCTGCTCACACACTCTTAACACTGGTGTGAGGAAAGGAACTGTGCCTACCTATGGCTAATGGCTAATGCCAAAATCGTCAGATACAGTACAAAAATTTCAGAGTCCCTAGTACCACCTACATAGTGCTGAAATGCCTCAGAGTCCCCATTGCCACCTTAAGAGCTCAAGTACTCACAATACCCAGGAAGCCATTTGTCTTCCTGACCTGGCCAAGACACAGCTTCATTCTCCACCTATTGAATTTGCAAAGCTGTGAGCTTGTTACAGAAATTAATAGTTCTTATCATTATTTAAACACACAATGTTGAAATTAAGGACTCGTTCTCTTTAGCATACAAAATTAAAAAAAATTAAAAAACAACTTTCCCTTCCCCCCATCTTACAATTAAGGTATCATGTCTTATTTGACATTGTATTCTCACTAAATAGTGTTTTTGTGGAAAAAAAAAAAAATATATATATATATATATATATATATATATATCTCAGTAACAACAACAACAAAAGTTTCAGCCTTGGTTCTGGAAAACCCAACTATCCCAAAGAGAGAACCAAAGCCAACAAAACAGCACGGTATGCAATTTCACACATGCACATACACAATAGAAGATTTTCCTGGTGAAATCCATACATTATTTCAGAGGCATATTTGCCCATTTGCACTGTAAAATAAAAATAGCATCTCATGTGCAATGAATGAAGGCCCTTTACTAAAATACGTGGGATGATTATAGAGCTCATTAGCATATACACAACACATGTTTTACACTGGGAAGAAATATATTTGCCTCAAAATGTTTCCAAAACATCTAGAAGGAACACTGACTGTTGCATGCTTTTACAAAGCGTAAAACAAGTCTTTGTTGATGGGGTTTAAACAGCATCAGTAAAAAGGGTTTTCCTTGATTTGTGGACATTTCTAGGTCTTAACAGCCTAGAAGGAGGTGGGTGGAAAACTGGATCTTGACACCTGCTCTCCAAAGCAATGGAGTTTTGATGATCAAGCCAGAAAATAACGGTGCTGCAACTCATGCCACATGAAAACTGCTCTCCAAAGTTTGTATTTTCCAAACCACTACTCTTCTTTAGACCTTGAAGAAGGATAAACTAGCATGCAGTGTCCCATGGATAGGAAAGTCTTTGAAATGTTTATTTCCCAAGCATTACTCCACACTTCAAAGGGAATTTAAATTCATAGTTTTGTGGGACAACTTTCTTTTTAGTGGAGATTCGGTATTTCTGAGTCATGCTTGTTTTTCCTGAATATTCCTAATAGACATCACAACTCCCTGTAAAAGCTAGACAAATTCCACTCATCCTAATTGCGTTTAATTCTTACAAAATCAATGAATGTGTATTTTACTTGGTCAATCTAGTGGTGAAATTTAGTTTTAAGGCTACTTTAAGGGCACCTAATAAATACTAGAAGTTGGGGTTTTAAATTTCAAGGGGCCACTGCAATATTTGGCTGTATCCCACCAGATGTTTGGAATGGCTGACTTGAACCATTTAAGAATTTCCAGAATAAACTGCATTCCTCATTCTCAAACAAAATCAAGAGAGATTGTCCTTTCCTATAGTGTATGACAAAAAGAACATGAAATTTTGTTTGTAATAGTCACAGAGTGAACCAGCCTACCTAGAATGGACACCAGTAACATAAAATATCCTGACAGAGAAAACTGTGTACATATATACAACTTTACCTCATAGTAAGCAATGGTAAACACACTGGATGCATCCATAGGTTTGATGTGCTAAATGCTAACCATCCAAAGAACCAAGAGGACCTATACATCATTGTTACTCACGTAGACCACTCAACTCTAGATATCTGTCACCATACATGATACCCCCAAGAAAGGGGTCCAGATCAGTCATCCAAAACAACCAAATTTCAAAGCAGGTTGATAAGTGCAACTCAATTTCCATTAAATTACATTTAAACAATACTCAATACCCCACCCAAAATATATATTGTATATTTATATATTTATATATGTATAGTCTTAGACTATAAGGCTGAAAATGCTTTATAAAAGTCAATGAGAGCTTTCCGCTGCTTAAAGAGACCTGCTGCTTCTTTGCTAACTTCTATCTAGCAAGGACAACATATCCGTAAGCAAAACTTTGAAAGGCTTAAAGCCAGAATTAGAATCAGGTGACAGGTCAGCCTTTAGGCAACAGGTAGCCTCTTACTTCCCTGTCCCTTTAGAAGCCTGACTGAGAAGGAAAAGAAGAGTTAGCAAGAATGCTTTGAAGATCAAGCAGGCATGCCCTGCAGGGGCTGGGCGGTGAAGAAGACACAAAGAGCCCAGCAATGGGTGCTCATTCCCCTTCCTCTTTGATGCGCTGCTGTTTGTTACGACGGGAATCCATGTCGAAGTTGAAGTCGTTCCACTCATCACGGGGTGGGAAAGAGATGGTCTGGCGAAGAGTGAAGCGCACGGCATCAATTACGCGTTCACCACGGGTCTCACTGGATCCCACGCTGACTGTAGAGGCACCGCTTGGGGTCCTCAGGAGATGTGGGGGTGAGGAGAAGTCGTGCAGCTGCCTGTGGTCCAGGATACCCTTCCAGATGGCATGTCGGAACTGCTCAGGGATCTTTAGACTTGCCAAATCCTGTGCAACAGGGAGGAGGCCAGGTATTAGAGGGCAAACACCTAGCCTTTTATTCCATGCTGTTTTTCATTCTTTGGTGGTTTGGCTTATATGATCTGAATTACATGATCCCTAACTTGGCAAATCAAATTAGCTTTCTGACAGTCTTCCACATGTTATGTTACTGAGAACTCTGCTGTGTCATGTGTGGACAACAATTTACTTGTTCTCTATTGGCCTCAGTTTCTTCATGTGTAAAACAGTGTATATAACAGTAGTTAAATAAGAGAACAAAAATCTCAAGAAGAAATGGGCTTCAGCTCATTATAGGGCTTAAGCCACCAGAAGAAAGGAATCAATGGAGTGAATGGAGTGTCACTAACAGTGGGAAAGATGGGAGAGGGAAAGATTTCTAATAGGGATTGAGAATTTCCTATGTACCAAGCATCAAATTGTTTAGTTTATGTTCATAATCCTATTTTAATTAGTGCTGGATATTATTATACCCATTTTATGGATAGAAAAATTAAAGATTCAGTTAAACAAGCCCTGAGATTATATCACAAGGTAAATAAATTGTGAATTTAGGAATAGTTCTTGAGCCTCAAATTATCCTATGGAGTGAAAGATCTCATGGTGTGTGGACAAAATACACAAAAATGCACATCAGTTGTGTCTGTGCACTATGGAAGAGACAAGAGCTCTTTGCAATGGAGTTAGTCTGAAGTAGGTGTGGTACACATGTTGCGTGCATTAGCATTAGTTTGTTTAATATGTTTCAGTTCAACGAAGCAGCACCATAAGCAGAAAATGACTAGGTAGATGGCAATCTGATCTTAGTTTCCTCTTTGGATACAATTGCTCCTATGTATTCTAGACACTATGGACTCATACACAAGTGTGGGTGTGATGTTACATAAATTCTAAAATGCACACTATCATTTTCATCATTTATATTATGAGGTCAGCTTTGCATCTGTAGATACCCAATATACTCCAATTCTCTATGAGAAAGGGACACTAAAATAACAGACTGCTGCAAAGACCCAAGAGGTGTCTGTTTCCAGAAATAAGCAAATGGATGCTGAGGGGAAGATGAGAAAACCAAATAGCTTTCCAAAATGTCCCAATTCAGAAATCTACGCCATGCTCTCATATTGTCCCACTACATGGGTTTCAGGCCATCACTGCTACCCTAACTTCTTCTGTAATAGGAGAAAACCTTGGAAAGCAGACAATCCACAAATAGTTAAGTTAGCATGCTCTATCGCATCTTGCATTCTTTCTACCTCTGAAATTCCACATGAGCTCAAGATTCACTGTAGTCTCAGCACCACTACAAGGCAACACCAACAGAGAGAGATTCGTGGGAAGCAGCTCTGAACATTAATGACTGCAAGAGAAGCCTGGCACTCCCCAAAGGGGACAAATCTACAAGTCTGTATTATGTAAAGACACAGGGAAGCAGTAAACTTCCTGTCCCACCACACAGGACTCTACGACAGATAATTCTCAAATTCAGAGCCACTCCCATTTTCATCACTGGAGAAATGTTATTTTTAAATCTGAGTTCTAAAGTGTTATCTATGGTTTTAACCTATGATGGGCTCTATCAAGGAAGTACCAGGTGTGATGTTTGGAGTCAGGAGGAATGGGCATAAGGTAGCATGGTGTATATACTGATCTCTACAGGACTGGAGCATTCTCATGCTGCAGGGGCATCTCTAGCATTGGTGCTTAAGGAGAGGAAGGAGTTCCCACTACAGAAGCAGCAGCACAGGCAGAGACTCTCCTCCCATTGGTCCAAAGTACCATCTGGAAGCTAGAACAGAGAATAGCAAATGCTACAGAGAGCAGCAGAAAGAGTAGCTGAAGAGGGAGGAGGAGGGTCAGGTGCAAACAAAGTATCTCCCCTGTATGCAGAAGCTCAAGAAATGGGGTGGAAAGCATGAGAAAGTTCCATCACATGCAGCTTGTTTCAAAGATTATCCAAGCCAGAGAGGAGCAATTTCTAGCTGGATTAACTGAGGTCCCGAGAGGCAAAGTGACAGCCTCAAATCTTATTGCTATTAAAATTCATGCCCAGGCCTCGAACTTATGGCCAGTAATCATTCCTGGTGATAGGGGCAGGGAGTTGGGCTGACAGAACTGCAAATGAATGGAACAGAGCTGACTCATCCTTAAAGCCCTACTTGAAGGAGAGGTGTAAAATGCCAATGAATGGTGTCACAGGCTAGATGTTTATAGCCAGGTTTCTCTTAATGATTCTGCCATCAACACAATGACAGTTTTATTGTTTCTCTGTATACTTAAATGAGACAAACACTATGTTCTTCCTGTTCTCTTTCCTGGTGATTTAAACAGACTAATGAGAACATCATAACCAATCTCCAAGTAAGCTGCACTGGGTTTCAAACTTTTGAGTTCAAGGAATCCTCCTGCTCCAGGCTCCCAATTGCTTGGTTTTTCAGCCACCTGGCTTGAGACTAAAATTTCTTGACTGCACACATTAAATATTTATTTCTCATTTGCATGCACTCGGGTTCAATAAGCCGCAGCTTAATGATCAGGCTTATTGATTGTTGAACTTCTAACCTGGGGAATCTTAATAAGGTTATGGGTTCCATCAGAGTTGAGGATTTGAAGCAAGGTCAAAACAAAGTCTAAAACTATAGTGGATGGAACTACAAGGCGCATGTACTGGAGGGGAAAAATGAAGACATTTTACTAGAGAAAAGTCTAGCAGTTACTTACATCCATGGAGTAATGCTCAATCTGATAGATGGTGGTCAGCCCCTGGGTCGTGAAATAGTCCAGACATGATGAGCAGCCCAGCCTTGCTAAGAAACTGCAGAGGGAAGAGGGCAGAGGAAGAAGGAAACAGAAAAAGAAAGTTCACCCCAACTGCATTGGCGAGATAAAGGAAAACCCAACATTTTGCCCTTGGATGCCCTGCATAAGAGACTAGGGCCACATGAAGTATGTATGGGCCTTCGATCTGAGGTTTGAGGATTGTTAGAAACTCAAACTTTAGGTAAACTGACAACAAAAGCTGACATCAAGTATAAGTAATTTTTCAGTTGGTGATCTGAGGTATCCTAAGCTTTTGTGCAAATGCAGCAGGAGCCATTGAAGGGGGTAAAGATGAAGGATCCAGTGGTCAGGTCCCGAGTGCTCTTGTCTCTTGGATCATCACACCAAATTTAGAATCTCTAGATTCACAACTTTGTGTTTGAGGGTCTCTTAGAATGTTTTAGGCAGTTAAAATATTGCAGGCTAGTACTCCAGAATATCATTAAAATTTCTAGATTTATGTCCTTAAAATATAAATCCTCCTTGTGGATCTAGCCTGAGACTGACGATGTCACTATTGTCCCAGGGCCAATTTCTGTTGAGCTAAGCCATGTACCACACCATCTCTGGGGTTGGAGTTGTACATGGACAAAACATACTCTACCAGCAGCCAACAGAACAAAGCATGCTTCAGTGGAGCAGAGGGCATGCAGTAAGTATGCAACATGGAGCTGCATGTGCCTCTTACGCTTTGTTTGCTAATGTCCCTATGAAACCGTGTCCCCATGTCCTAGCAGAGTGGCAGAGGTTCTTCATATTTCAGATATTTTGCTAATATTAAAACTTTTTAATACACATCCAACTCCAAAATTATGGTCCCATGGTGGCTAAGAGCTGGGAGGCCTAGAGAACAGGAAAGGGAGCAGGGTAGCCAGTTTGTGTCTCTCTGGGGAAACCCAGCCCTGAGAACCAATCCATGGGCCACAACTGACCTATAAAAACAGCAAGCAGGAGAAGGGAGTAAATGAAGCCCAGAAAACAGGTCTGAATCCTATGTACACATGCACACGTTTTCACTTTCCCCACACTGGTTGTAGGAGCTCTTGACAGAGCTATGCTGACGACACTGCCAATCAGCCTCAATTGACAAGACAGCATCCTTTCTTAACCATTTGATCAGCTTCGCCAGTGTCTGCCCTCTACCCACAGGTGCCTAGGCCCAGCCCAAGCAGCACATGCTATGCACTCACCTGACAATGCTGCAATCTGTGGGGTATGGAGGTGGGGGGGTGCAGTGGGAGGTGGATGGCATGGAGAGTGGGGGAGGGAGGGCTTGGGTGGGGCTGAGTCCATTCATGTCTCCAGCCATTGGCATGTGAGTGCCCATCATAGGAACTGAATAGAAGCAGGAGGAATAGAAAGGGTTACTAGATTATCATTCCCCAGCATCCCAGAAGTCTATCTCGCCTTGCTACTTATTACCAAAATGATATCTGTGTGTTTGCTGGGGGAGGGAGGGTTGGAGGGCGGGGAGCAGTGGTGGCCTAATTTCTCTATATCCCTTCACACACCCTATGCTTCATCAAGCAGAACAGAACCAGAACTCCAAATTAATTGCAGATTTTGGGGCCTTTGTTCTCTTAGGACTCTTTTCTCACCCTTCTTTTCTTCTAATTTCTCTTTTCTCCTAAGTTGATAAGTTTCTCGTACTGGCCAGAATGGGTTATATTTCAGTTTATCTTACCCTACTCATCTCCTATAGGATAGAGATTATCCATTACCGATGTTTCTATCCCCACAGCCATAGCAGACTTCCTGGCACAATAAGATGCTCAAAAACTTACAATGACAGAAATATGAACACATGTTAATAGGATCTGTTTGGGAACTGGAAGATAGACTATAGTATTGGTTTGGGAACTTTATGCTTACTAAGAAAAAATACAATTCCAGATTCTACCTATGCTATATAATCCACTTGAATTCAGCAATATCACCGAAATTTTGGGTATTTTTTTTTTTAAACCATGAGCTTCACACATTCACTGACACCCCCCGCATCCCCCCAAAAAGAAGCTTTGTACTAATACCATTTATGTAACAAACTTTGCTTTTTGGTCAAAAACTATAAAAATAATATATCTCAAAAATAAGAATATAATTTGCATTTACTTTAGTAACCAGAAGTATACCTCATGGGAAAGACCCTGATGTAGCCAATTGCAAAGCCCAGTCCTGGGGCTTTCTTCATCTACTTTCCCTCAGACTTCTCTGAGTATATCAGAGAACTGTGTACCATAAATAAAATGCAAATGCCTGAAAGTTGTATAAATATGGAATGCTGTTATTGTTACCACTATCTGGTTCCTAGAACAAGCAGGGATATTTTAATTATGTTCAAAGAAATGCGAATAGAATTAAATGGCTTCTCTTTTCATTGTCAGGTTTGGAACCTCAGGGGTCTCTGTCCCTGCTGTCGGACCATCTCACTGAGAAATCAACATGGGCTGCCATGCCACAGACAATCTTAGTTTCCCTTAGCTTCCCTTAGTTTCCCTTTTGGATAGGCTGAGCTTTCCAAAGAAAAAGGAATCAAGGTTTGGTCAAAATAATTGGGGATTTTGAAGGAGCAGATGGTAGGTTCTTGGTTTTTCATTGAGTGAGAATTTTAGGAACTATGTAGGGTTCCATTTTGTCTAACCCTGAAGATGTTATTTATCATTATGCATTTTTACTATTCTTCATTTCATTTAAGTCTCTATGTCCCCTTACCTAGACTTAATTACAGTAGACAAGTAAATCTGTTTATAGAAAAGCTATGTTCCAATGATCACCTATTTATTTAAACCCAGTTTTTGCACAGCCTCATATCCATGCTTAGTTACTATGAGAAATGTGTATGCTGTTTCCCTGTTTACTGTATATGAAATGAAGTAATACTATAAAGTATAAATACATAAAATGCTAAATGTATGGAGTGATCATTTTAGAGACAGAGAGCAGAAGAAGAAAGAACTAAGTTGTTTGCAGTTGCACAGCTAGTTTTGCTACAATTCAGAGGAGAATCAATCTTTTTTAGGCTTTCTGTCTAGCTTACCATACTGCTTCCTTCATGTCAGAAACACTTCCTTTAGACAGTGTCAGAGGTGGTCTGTGGCAGGCTCCATCCAAGTTGGCAGGAAGTGAACCATTCTTGTCTCAGAGACCCTTATCCCTACTGAAGATCTATCTCTAGGGTATTTTGTGATGAAACCCATACCTCAAAAATGAGAAGTGAACTGTGAAAGCCCACTCAGCCAAGTGTGGTCTCCTCTGCCTCTAGGGCACTTAGCTTAGGGGATGAGCATTTTTACCATCCCAAGGCATTGTCTTGTTCTAGCCCTGTCCATACTTTGTCAGCCGAAGAGAGATGTGCTTACTGTTGGCTCCCATACCCTCGGGCATGGTGGTAGGGGTGAGGGCGTTGCGCTGCTGTGGGTTGATAAGCTGGCTCACGGAAGGCAGCTTGTTCATGCTGTTCATTTTGTTCAGAGGTGGGGAGCTGTTACCGTATGAAGACTGAGACTGCATCGAGGTCCTAGGAACACAAACATGGCAATGATGGTCAACATGGGACTCTGAATGACAGGATCAGTCATTCCCAATAGTTCTCAGATTACAACCTGGCCTAGAACTATGAATGTGCCAGATATTCCTCATGCTTAATGGCCTAGAGTCCTTTATTGTCCTTGTGAGACTCCTTCCCAGGGAAAGACTGCAAGGCCATCAAAAACAAAAAAAAAAAAAAAAAAAAAACAAAACAGAACAAAACAAAAAAATCACTATTTTCTATAATATACACAGTTGAGCTTTTAATATTTCCTTTGTGAGATTTAATATTTCCTTTTTATCTTCTATTATTTCTTCCATTTTCTTTCTCTCTCTTGTTTTTCAACTTAAATAAGTCGTAAAAGCCATTAAGGAGAGAACATAACTGAGCAAGGCACACAGACTGATGAAGAACATAGACACTCAATTCAACTTGCAACTGAGGCTGTCCATTTACAGCTTTCCAAACCATTCGGGATCCATAGCAAATATCTGAAGGAGTCCATCGGAGGCATTTGACAGCATACCCTGATGTCTTATAGAATCCCCCAAGATATAAATATATTTCCTCAGCTGAAATGTTTATGTACTTTGAGAAGACCCAATCCATGCCAAGAGCAATTTTACCTAGGAGAACCTTAGAATCCAAGTCACTGTGGTGTTGACTTTCTACAAGTCTTCCGTGTGTGTGTGTGTGTGTGTGTGTGTGTGTGTGTGTGTGTGTGTGTTTGTGTATTCATGAACAAATACAGTGGTCATGTAAAAGCTATCGGATATAAAAAAAATTATATAGCCGTGTGCCCTTGCTTTATGAGCCACACTATTAGGAGAAGGAGATCTAAAATGTAATGGTTTTCATCTTTGGGAGACTCCCAGAGAAGCAGTTTAACAGGGATAACAACCCATCACTCATTGTAGAGCTGAGATAGGAACTGGACTGGAGATAATAAGGACCAGCTGTAGAGACTGTAGCATTTGCAATGAATATAAGTATTAAGAATATAGAATAAGGATTTTGCTTTGAGTGTGTTTCTGACCTTCACATTCATCAGACAATTCATTCATTTTTGTTTTGTTCTGATTTTAATTTTTTCTTTCATCTTTTCTGTCACACTCATATTCCCATAGATGTTTTAAAAGACACATTTAAATTTTTATGGCAGTTTTAATTTCACATGTGTTTGGGAGTGTTATCAATATTGAATGCTTTATAAAATTAAAAATTTTTCAAATGGTAGCCTTAAATATTCATACTTTAGGTAACTTTTGAATATGCACTGAATTCCCCATAGTTACTAAAAACAGGAAGCTTGCTTTCTACATTAGTGCAGAGTACTAGCCAGGGTAAACCAAACAATACCCTGACTGTGCAAAGCTACTACAGTATGCATCATTGCTTTAATTTTTGTTCTCTTTAGTCTTTTTCAAGTGGTACAAAAAGGCATCATAAAAAAATTCTCCCACTCCCATTGATGAAACACCTCAGGCTACCTGGCTGTCTTTCACCCATGTTTGAGTTACTGCCACAACTATGGAGTATTCCATGTCGTAGTATGGAAGCACATGGTGAACAGATAGTTATTATTAATATCTGAAGAGAAAGTAAATATGAAACTCTAAGAAAACAACAAGCTCAAATGTCCAGTGTCCACTGCTAGATGGATGGGTTGAGGATAGAAATGAGTCTATCTCTGGCAATTAGTCCATGTTTTTCTGTTTGTTTGTTTGTTTTTTGTTTTTTCCCCTTTTTCTGGGTACAAACCTCAAGAAATGAAATGATGGTAGGTAACAAGGTTGCAGGATCAAGAAACTATTGAAGTACTAAGATAAACAGGAAGAGAATCTAACAGCTACCAAGCAATTGTAAGTCCACACCACCACTGTGTTCCAGGAGCCTGATGGGTAGACCGCCCATCCAGATCTATCCAGAAGCATCTGGAAGTCAGTATCTCAGTACAGGAAGCACAGAGGAAGGTAGCAGGGAGGTATTATCAGCTGCTGCTTTTACACCTGTCTTGGGTGGTCATAATGTAGCTAAGAGCTAACCACCCATATTCTAGATACAGATAGGACCTTTAATTTGAAAAGACTCCATATTATTCTCCATCTTCCCTAGCAGATGGTGAACACATAGCCAATATGAACAGTAAGAATACTGTTAACCATTAATAACTGCAACCAGGCAGATAAAAGTACATTTAAAAACTTTATGTTTATCCCTGTATTTTCAGTCACAATTTCCTACTATTTTATGTATTATTAAAACCATTATTTTTTTACTACCTTATTATCTAATTGAGACTAGTTTTCACTATAATCAACTTAAGAAGAGACGCTGGAAATAACAGATGAACAGAGAAGGAACCTGAATTTTGGAGCCAATAAAAATGTTTGCTAGCTTCTAGATATGAAATGAATATATGAAGCCACTGGATTTGATCTGTGTCTCAGCTGAGCCCCCTTTTCTTCTTACGTCAAGCTCTCTCTGCAAGGGTGCGTATGAATTCTGAATGAGCCCATGAGAGAACCCTGGATATTCTTCAGTGTCTTACAGACACTCAGGATATTAGTCCTTTCCTCTTCCCTTATAGCCCCAAACAGTTTATAACCTAGTATTTTGTAAAGGGAATATAAGGTGCTGACTTGTACATTTATAGGAAAAAGGGGCCAGAGTTGACAGATTCTTAATTGAGTAAACTCAGAAAATGGTCTTGGATAACATCAAAAGGATCATATCTTGAATTACACATTACAGCATAAAACTGAGTTCTATTGACAAAAAGATGGTACCACTGTGATCATTACTACTCCACAGTGACAGAATCAGATGGCCATCACATACTTAGGAAAAAGTGTGATCCTGGGTAAAACTCACAGCCAAGTCAAAGGTCCTGAAAAACAGCCAAATGCTTGGCCATTACAAGTACAAATACCATGTTCCTTCAGTAAACACTCTCCTAATTCGGAGGGACAAATTGAGAAGAAAAAAGAAACTATGTTGTGTTGACTGAGTTTTCTTATTTGTCTCTTTTGTCCTTGTCACCCAACCCTACCAAGGTCAAACAACCGAAATGTGATGACAACAGCTCTTTGCAGGAAAATGTAGTATGGTTTCTATTGAAGGGGCATTTCTGACAAGGCTCACTGGAGTTTTCTGGGAACCAAGTACTACAGAGATATGAACAACTTAGTCTCCTATAGCTGTAGTCTTAAGGAAAATTATTAGTAAACCCAAGTCACAGTTTTGGTTTGCTTTTTCTTTCATTGTTTTCTAGTGGTGGTGACTGAACCCACAGATCTCACTTGTTTGAAGCCCTCTATTCTTAGTTTTTAACTCCATAACCATAAACTTCTGTGTGCCTCGCTAAAAATGAAACTTAGAATTCCAGGGCTAAATATGCTTTTAAATCAATGGTTCTCAACTTGTGGGGGTCATTGACCCCTTTGTGGGATCACCTATCAAACATCCTAAAAATATAACATTTTTACATTACAGTAGTAAGATTACAGTTATGAAGTAGCAATGAAAATAATTTTATGGTCAGGGATCCCCACAACATGAGGAACTGTGTTAGAGGGTCACGGCATTAGAAGGTCGAGAACCCCTGTTTTAAATGATCTGGAATTAGAAGTTCGGCTTCCTGTTTTTGCCTTGCATGACTATGTGGTGAAAGACAAACTTAACGATAAGTTCCAAGTTACATGTATGGCCTTCTGAACCCTCATTTAAATCCTTTCACTACACACACTAAAACTTTCAACTCACATTTGGAGATACATCGAAAAAAAAAAATGTATTTTACCCAGCCATTTCTAGAATGGTGAACGTAGAAAGGGGAAAAGAATAACGAAGGGGAAGGGATAGACACCCTGTATATGAGGAAGGTTAAAAAAACAGGAAGAAATAGAAAACTGATTACACCTCTTCTAAGTATTTTCCAAGAGCTCCCCTCTCTATGGCCTGTATGCCGGGTAAGCATGCCTCCAAAGAGCCAGGGCACATGTATATGAAGGTTACTATAGTACATCAAAAATTTCCATAAGATTACAAGAGAAAAAAGGTTTCTGAAAGAAATGTCAAGACTTGAAGTACATTCTGCAATCTTTGCATACCCGGGCTCTAACTTACTAACTGCAGTATAACAAGAGTGTCAGAACTTCAACTAATAGATTTTCATCTCTTGTCAAGATGTCTTTGTCTTATGTTTTGATCTGTGTTTTGCTTTGGTGCATTTATTAAATCTTCCTTTGAACTATCGACTACAATAACCTAAAGTCCAGAGTACACAGAAATTTAATCTTCCAAACTTAGGATGTTGCCCCCCCCACCTGGATTACTGAACAAATATTTGCTAAAGCCCATGGCATATACACCTAATTCTCTAATACACTGGGACTTAATTTAAATTTAGTAAATTTGGTGTATTTGTAAAAGCTCAAAGACTTGTTCAGATGCCTTTTGGCACTCTAGAATGTAATTACTATACTCACAGAACTAAAATCTGTTCATTTGGGCCAGTGTTTCTCAACCTGTGCATTGAGACCCTTTTGGGATTAAATATCAGATATCCCATATATCAGATATTTACATGACAATTCACAACAGTTGCAAAATTATGGTTATGAAGAAGCAAGGAAAAAAATAGGTTGGAGGTCAGCACAACATGAGAAACTTGTATTGAGTGATTGCAGCATTAGGAAGGTTGAGAACCACTGACATCGACATTGCAACTAATTTTTCAGAGTGATAACCTGGATTTAGTAACTTAAATAAAATCACAAAAGAAATAGAGACAGGACCACAGTGACTGCCCTGTCACTCTCATTTAGAGCTACACATAGGACTTGAAGTAATTAAGATGGGAGAATATACTGTACTAGGGGTCGGGGAACAAGAGAGACAGAAACAATAACTACAAAATAAACCAAGATGCAAAAGTTTATTGAAAATTAAAACCACACATCCACAAAGCAACAGCCTCTATCACA